TTTGTATCATGTCATTGCATGCATGCGGTTTCATAATCACTCTCCCTTTATTTCAGGTGTGTATGATTCTTCTGACACCCCATGCCCAACCAAGTCCTCAAGAGAAGAGTCTATGTTTTATTTATACTTGTGCATGCCATGGTGCCTAGTATGGCCATAGGCTACAGAAGTTACCTAAATAAACAGTAAATGAAGAATATAAAATGAAGGCAATTACTCCATGGTTAAAATGAAGATTAAATAAGATGGCACACTTAGAAGTCCCTGTAATAAAGCAAAAGCTCAATGTTTTGTTTCCCTCATTCTTTATATGAGTTTTATTAGCTAACTTAAAATTTTGAGAAAATCCACTAATGATACCAAAATATAAGTATTACCAGTGTCAAGTAGAAAATCAAATATTTCTCTTTTTTACTAATTTTAATCTAAATAACTAAAACAGCTGACTTCTTTTCAGAGGCTTTTCTTTGGACACACTAGAAACACAATTTCTCTGGTTGGAAACAAGATGAAAAAATGTAAAGTCAACTATATAGCCAAGGTCTGTATTTGTACATTTACAGTTACTTTTGTGTGTGTGGCTGACTCATCTATTTGCCTCCTAGTAGAAGGAAAAATACTCCAGCTGCTTAGTGGTTGCAGAGGGAAAATGACTGTAAGGAGGTGGGGATGAAAGAAATAGGATGGATTTGGGGCAACTTATTTCAATAAACAAGAATTAAAATTGTTTCCTTACCCCGCGGTACTGGCTTTCATTGAAAATCTGAGGTGGCAGGGGGTACCCTGTGGCTGGTCGACTGTTTTCAGGAACATTTTCTCTCATCCACTTCCGATTCTCTTCATTTGCTGCAATATCCTTTTCTTCAAATCCTATTTTGTTGGCTTCTAAGAAACCAAGCACATCTTGCTGTTTCTTCTTAATCTAGGACCCAAATGACAAGAAACCATACTGCTTAGCAAACAGCTTTTGTTGTTTTTATTTTTCAAATTCAACAAAGTGTTTATGAGCTAGCATACATGAATTCAGATATGGAACAAAATTTGTGGTTTCTTTGAGAAGATATATGATGTTTCCCTCTTTACTATTGTCTTGTTAATGATGTCTCACAAATGAGTCAAGGAGCTTTTAGCCCACAGGTCCTTCCATCAAGCTGACTTTTTCTTTTTTTCATTGAAAATTCCCATTTTCAATGATGCAGATGCAAGGCTAGTTGATGGTATCAATAACCTAAAGTAATGCAGTTAACTCAAAATTGTGGGTAGTGGGAAGCTATGTTTTCTTCTGATTATCTACATGCCTATCTTAATCTCATCTCTTATTGAAAGTCTTTCCAAACAAACCAAGTTTGCTTCCCATCTTAACAAGCATCGTATAGTCAATGAAAATTAATCCTTTCTTGAGGAATCACACAAGGTTCAGAGTCACTTAAGTCTCAAGTTTCATTGTTCAGAACAGAAACTGAATAAGAAGATATAAGACCTAAGCCTGCCTGTATACTATGTTTGGAATATATCTGTACCACTCATTAGCTCTTAACGTGTGCTACTAAGGTATCCTTCAGGTATGGCTGTGCTACTTCAACTAGATTAATAGATAGAAATAGCATATTTATTTTGTCTCCTCATCATACCTAGCAGAGAGTTTTTAAAATAGTAAAAGTAATACTCCTTAGTTAGGTTTCTCCTCTGATATACATTTCTTTTAGAATCTGAATTCACACATCTATGGTAATTTACCTATATATAAAACTGTAATTGAACATTTCTGAGCTGCAAGAGCACAATCAATTAGAAAGTTTCTTCTTGGAGTCACACTAAAAAGACACATGGGGCGGATGCATGGAAAAATAAAATAAAAAGAAGCAATCCTGCCAATGAGAATGAAAATGCAAAATAAGAAACTCGAATACAGTCAGGCCCCCTCTAGGTTTATACCCCACTCCCCCTCCACACAGGCATGCATGCACACAGGTTGTATTTTTATCCTTCTAAGTTGCTTGTGATTGTGGGTAATTTTCTCCCTCATCACATAACTTCAGGAAAAACAATTTCAATTTCTCACAATAGAAACTAGAATTTTTAAAGGCTATTCAGATCAGAGTACTTAATGCCTGCTTTAAAGATCAGTTATAATCCAGCAAAATTTGCTATAAGGTAATTTTTCTAATGGGGATTCTACTTCTGTATTGGCTTATAAAATCAAACTTTCATTCCTAAATATAACATATACCTTCTTTTGATTTTTGAGGAAAAGCAATGTAAAAGTCAATAAAAGGGAGTGTTTATCAGATTAATGGACTTGATGGAAGATTCAATTAAATCAGTGATTTTAAATCTCCATTATATAGTAGGTGGTTCAATCAATGTGAAATGCATCAAGTAATTTGTTGATTATTAGCATATTTATAAATTTTAATAGATATGAAGATGTCCAATTAATATGATACTTTCAGGAACCTAGCATTCCATCAGATTTTTTTTTGAATGAGTAAAGAGTTAATGTTATAGCTAACATGCTAAGTACTATACATGACCCTGTCAGAATGTCATCAGTCATGTTTGCGTGAGCACACAAAAAGCAGAGGACTTTTAGGATAAATGACTCTTTGAGGCCTTTTTCACCTTATTGAATGCTTACTATGTTCAGAACACCATTCACTGTGCTGAGTTAAGATGGTGGCCAGGCCTAGTATTATTGGGCATGATAGTATACCTTCACTGAAGTTACCACCCTCAAGCTATCAGCTCTGAACCACAAGCATTTCTCCCATGCTCTGAGATTGCTTAGTGACAAGTTCATATGCCTCCTAGAGTGTTCTACAGCTCCGTAAAGTTGAACAGAATGGGCCATATTCATATCTTGCTAATAGGTTCTGCTTTGTCAAATATGAACATTTGTTCAGCTTTGAATCTTCAGGGAATGTAAAAAAAAATGTTTCCTGACTTGATCATATCTATAAGTCCAAAGTTCACATAATAACATTTATTTCCAAGAAATGATATTTTATATATAAGGAATTATAGCCTTTCTTATATGACCACAGGCACATGTTCACTATAACACACAATAACAAGGGAGCATATAGTAATACTAATTTCCTAATTTCTGTAATAGGATTTAAAATAGAGACACAGGGAATAGATGTGACTGGAAACCATATATCACCAGAACAAATAGGAATAGATGTTACGAGGATTCACCAAGGAATAAACTTTAAATTTCCTACAGAAAAAAATATGACTTTGGAGCTAGAAGGTTACTGATAACCTTTTCAGCACATAAATGTATTTATAAGTGGAGAATGACACTGTCCAGGAATTTAAATCAATCTTTTTCCAAGAGTAAACCACACCCCTCATCTCTACCCAAAGAATGCCAAGTCATTTCTGCCCACATGTCAGGGGTTTGAGATTTAGGATATTCTTCCTCTGAAGACACAGAGCTGGGCCATTGAACAATTGTTGCCTGGTGGAAACAGTTGCCTTCCAACAAGCCTCAGTAAGCTTCTTGTCTACCATGCCAAGGGTCGTTTCTTTTAAAGAAAGAAGACTGACAAGGTTTCTGCTGTAGAAGGTATTAGCGTGAATGTTTCAAATTCCAAAGAAAAAACAAAATTTCACTAATGATACTGCAAGTGGGAAAACAAGAGATCTTTTTCATAAAAGAAAGCAACAACCTATCATAAAACATTTTGATCACGGTGGGGTTTTTGCATTGTTTTATAATCAACCTCTGTCGTATTTTCTTTACTGGCCCTTAATAAACACTGACAGAAGTTCTGACTACAAAGCACTAAAATCTAAAATTATTGTCATAAATTGTACTTGCTAGTTATTCAAAAATTATTTCCTGGGTGCCTCATAAGTGGCACCCAAAGCACTTTACTAAGTTCTCTAGAACGCCTAAAGAAAAATTGTGATCCCTTCCCAATATTACAATCTAGTGGGAAGGGTTAGACATAGATATATTTAAAAGTTCAATTACAACAGGGTATTTATGTATTTATTTATTTCATGTGGAGCATCATTAGCCATTCTTTCTCTTTCTGCACACAGGACTGACTGCACCTCAGGGCAGCAGGTGCTTTCAGGTAGCCTCCAACCCTCTCGCCCCCAGGCAAAAGCCCTTTCTCTCAGGCCTCAGGCTGACCCCTCCTAGAGAAAACCTTAGCTCTCAAGAGAATGACCAAATACGAGTGCCCTTAGTGCAGCACTTACTACCATTTTCAATCCCTTCCCAACCAGCTGGGATAGAAGATGCCATCTGATTGGAATATGAAAATTAAAGCATTTCTCTAATAACATAGTACCATTGATGAAGTCTCCATAGATTTTCTAAGTCCAAATGTGTGTGAATATATATA